GCTGGTGGGGATTAAAATGGTGTAGCTGTTGTGGAAAACAGTTTAGTAGTTCTTCAAACAATTTGGCATAGAATTGCTGTATGGCCCAGCAATTCAATTCCTAGATATATATCCCAAAGAATTGAGAACAGGTACTCAAATATAGGTACACACAGATTGAGAGCAGCAGTGTTACCATAGTCAAAAAGTAGAAAAAACTGAAATGTCTGTCAAGGGATGAATGGATAAAAACGTATAAATAGATACAATGAAATGTTCAGTCACAAAAAAGAGTCAGGTACAGATAACATGCTCTGAGCAACTTCCTCTCTTCTACCCTGGGATGTGTCAGAAATTTCTTCTCTGGAAAGGGCAAAATAGAGACTCTTTTGCTGGGGAATACCATGCAAAATTCAGGACATGTGTACTTAACCAAAAACAGTGGGATTAAATGACCCTGTGCATACTGAATGCTACACACAGCAACTTCTCTGAAATCCCCTCCTCCCTTGTGGAAGGCTCCCAGAACATAGTTAGCCAGACTCTTAACCATCTGTATGTATCAGGATATACTTATCCATTCACATACTGAAGGGCATCTTGATTGCTTCCAAGTTTTGGCTGTTATCAAGAAAGCTGATATAAACATCTGTGTGTAGGCTTTTGTGTAAACATGTTTTCAATTCCTTTGGTTAAATACCAAGGAGCATAATGGCTGAATCATATGGTAACAGTATTTTTAGTTTTGTAAGAAACAGCCAAACTGTCTTCCAAATTGGCTGTACCATTTTGCATTCCCATTAGCAATGATGGATAGTTCCTGTTGCTCCACATCCTTGCCTGCATTTGGTACTGTCAGTGTCCCTGAGTTTGACCTTTCTAAAAGGTGTGCAGTGGTATCTCATTGTTTTAATTTGTGTATCCATGATGACATATGATGTGGAGCATATTTTCATATACTTATTTTCCATTTGTATATCTTCTTTGGTGAGGTGTCTGTTAAACTCTTTGGCCCGTTTTTAAAGTTTTTTTTCTTATTGTTGAATTTTAAGAGAGATTTGTATATTTTGGACAACAGTCCTTTATCGGATGTATCTTTAGCAAATGTTGTCTTCCAGTACATGGCTTGTCTTGTTATTCTCTTGACATTGCCTTTCACAGGGCAGACATTTTTAATTTTAATGAAGTCCAGCTTATCAATTTTTGCTTCATAGATCACGCCTTTAGTGTTGTATCTAAAAAGTCATCACCATACTGAAGGTCATCTAGATTTTCTCCTTTGTTATCTTCTAGGAGTTTTCTACTTTTGCTATTTACTTTTAGGTCTATAATCAATTTTGAGTTAATTTTTGTAAAGGATATAAGGTCTGTGTCTAGATTAGTTTTTTGCATGGGGATATCCTGTTGTTCCAGTACCATTTGTTGAAAAGACTATCTTTGCTCCTTTGTATTTGCTCCTTTGTCAAAGATTATTTGACTATATTGATGTGAGTCTATTTCTAGCCACTCTATTCTGTCCCACTCCTCTATGTGTCTATTCTTTCACCAATGTCACACTGTCCTGATTACATAGCTTCAGAGTAAGTCTTCAAGTTGGGTAGTGTCAGTCCTCCAACTTTGTTCTTCTTCCATGTTGTGTTGGCTATTCTGGGTCTTTTGCCTCTCCATGTAAACTTTAGAATCAGCTTGTCAGTATCTACAAAATAACTTGCTGGGATTTTGATTGGAGTTGCATTGATCTACAGGTCAATTTGGGAAGAACTGACATCTTGACAATATTGAGTCTTCCTATCCATGAACATGGAATATCTCTCCATTTATTTAGTTGTTTGATTTTGTTCATCAGAGTTTGTGGACATCAAAGTAGCCTTGGTGGCCAAAGATGGCCCTAAACAAAGAAATGCAGGTGTGGGCAGTTGGAGATTGGCCAGCAAGAGGTCATCTGGAGCAGGTGTGGGCAGGACACTAACAGCATCTGCCACAGGAAGAAAAACCTTGAAACAAAGCAAGAGAATGATCAATCCAACAGTTAGGAAAACTGGGTACTTCTGTTGGAGGTAGCTAGAAGGAAGAGGGCTATGATAGGAGGCTGTCCAGGGGGCTTCTAAGCACCTGGGGATGTTCTGTTTCTTGTCTTGGCTGGTGAGTATATGAGATTAATTCTTCCTTTACACTGCACATATATATATTACACATTCTTCTGTGAATGGTTTATATTTTACAATAAAGATTTATGAAAATAATGAAAGACGGTTTCTACTAAAGAACTTAGATACAGACCAAGTAAATATTAAGTTTTTATGGATCAATAAAAAAGCATATGTCTTCCTTGCCTGATTTTGGATGAAATTGAAAGAAATTCAGGAATCAGAGACTTGGAAATCAAAATATTACGTTTATTACTGATCAAGTTAATTGAAAAATGTAGCCTTAAAGCTGCAGCTGGTGCATTTGCTAATTCTTCCCTCCGGAATAGATCTTGCCGACTGTAATTGGCAGAGCTAGCCAAGCACAGAGCTCCTCTGTAGGGGTGAGAACAGACCAGAATGCAAGCTTTCTGCAAGTGAGCAGACCTAACGAAAGAATCCAGAAGTGGGGGAGCTGCAGTTCCTTCTCCTAGATGCTCCTACAGGATGAGTTACTTTTCTTTTCCTGGGAATGAGTGAATGAGGGTTATAGAGGGGCCAGGAGTGTTGATTTAGCTAAAGTTCCCTCTGTAAAGATCCACAGAAAGTGAGGAAAAAATTAGCCATCCAACAGTATAGATATAGTAATTTATGATAAAAGTGTCATTTCAAGTAAATGGATAATTCAATAAATTCAATAATTCCTGGCTAGCTTTTGAAAATATAGTTAAGTCCCACAACTTTTCATAAAGCCAGCTTATTTTCTATGTATATTATACTACAACAAAAAGTTTTTTACAAAAGCGTGTGTGATATGAGCTTGTTTTTATTAAAAAAATATACATATGTATTTGTTCATGTATATCTGGTAGGACATACACCAAAGTGTTAGCAGTTATTGTCTCTGGGTGATGGAAATACAAGTCATATTTACCTTTATTTATTTATTTATTTTTACAGTAAGCATGTCTTTTTAATCAGCTAAAAAGTAAAAATATTTTCCCATAAAAGTTATGTAGCTGATTTCTACTCTTTTATAGTCTGAATTAAACTAGTAGATAGAAACAATGTTTTTAAATTTGTAAAAACTATGTAGTTATATTTTAGATTCAGAAATGCTCAAAGCACAGGCATAGCTGGGAATACTTTTTTCTGATGCTACTTAAAATAAAGTTTCTTTAGTAGTATATAATAGCATACAGTTGGGAAGTTGCAATCATTCATTATTTATTATTCCATCTTGTACATGATATTATGGCATGTGGTTTAAGATTTTTCTGTTTCTTAGGTTAATTTATTCAAGTGAACAAATGTAACAAGGGCATCCAAACTAAAATTACCAGTGTTATCTTCAAAGAAGAAACAACTTTATTTTTTTTTATTTTTTTTATTTTTTGAGGAAGATTGCCTTGAGCTAACATCTGCTGCCAATCCTCTTTTTGCTGAGGAAGACTGGCCCTGAGCTAACATCCATGCCCATCTTCCTCTACTTTATATGTGGGACGCCTGCTACAGCATGGCTTGCCAAACGGTGCTGTGTCCGCACCTGGGATCCGAAGCGGCGAACCCCGGGCTGCTGAAGTGGAATGTTCGAACTTAACCGCTGCGCCACAGGGACAGACCCCTAGAAACAACTAACACTAACACCCTAACGCTTTATACTGTTCATTTATAACATTATTTATGTAGCAATTATTTTATTAGTGACCATGTTACAATGTGTTCCTATATGCTCAACTTACTAAATTTTCAGGTAAGGGAAGAAGAAGAAGTTTAGATAATTCAATATTCAAAGACATAATTTCTTTCTATGGTCTTTTACTTCATGAACATGGAAATTGTACCCTTTTCAATTCAGCAAAATACTAAATATTCTGTGTATGACTTTGTTAGATATTACTAAGTTCAATAAGATAGAAAATGTTATTTTGAAATGTGAGTTAACATTCCTACTAATTGAAAATATTGTTAAATACCAGAGCTCCTTCATTTTACATCATGAAAATAAAAATTCTAACAATGAAGTGGTTGCATTTATTAGATCCAGATCCTGTTTTGATTTTCAGGGAAAAGAATTCTTTATTAAATCATGGAAGTTTAACTGAAAGTTTAGTAAGTATAGCATGTAGGAATATGTTGTTACTTAGTCAATGATAAAATAATTATTATATAAGCCTTTCATTGTTATATCAGCAATGAAAGGGGTTGGGAGCTTTTTTCTTTTTTAAAAAATTTGGAGATAAATAACCTTGCCAATTTTTGTTTGGAGACCATTGTTACATTTGCTCATCAAAATAAGTATAGATAAACAAAAATTTTAAAAGAGATGGTAATACCCATACTACTCTACAAGTTTCTTGAGAATAGAATCTATTGTTTTCCCAAGAAGTACAGTCTTCGCATAAATATGTAGGAAATCTTACTTTGATAAAATGGAATTCGATGATTATAAACAAAAAGTTCTGTAGAATATGACATGTTATATGTTAACCATAAGTAAAGGAACGTTAAAACCTTGTTATAACACGGTTGTGCAGGTCCGTATCAAGGCAGCCCTCCACTGACACACTGAGGAGCTTATGCTGCACCAGCTTGGAATAGAGAGGGAGAGGCAGGATCAGGAAGGATGGGGAGGATAATGTGGAGTTGTCACTGAGACACTAAGGTATCTGTAGATGTCAAAAGTGCGATGGCTAAGGAGCTCTTAAGGTCTCCTCGTGATTTATTTCTTTTTCATCTTTATCCACTTCCTGCCATTGTTGTAAACCAACAGTATCTTTTTTTTCCTCAACAGGAGATATTCTTATCTTAGATTTTGCTGCAACTACTTACGTATAAGCTAAAATGTTAGAATTTGGTTTAGAATAAATTTTATCTTTCTGTCTCTTTGTTTAGGCATAATGTCCACCGCTTGGGATTTGTATGACTCTTTGAATGCCTTGGAGCTCTCCTCTCTACCCGCGAAATGGCCTGCAGCTGATTCACGTAGTAGAACAAACGTGGCTGCTAAACCTCGGGAGCAAAGAGCGCCAGGGAGCACTACCGAAAAAAGTCAGATTCCATTTATTTCAGCTTTTTTAAAATGCTATTTCCACATGACATTTTAAATCAGTTCTTTTTTATAGGTTACAGTATTTTATTTCTGGTGGAACATGAAAATACATCTTTTACTCAGGAACAGTGTTGTTACTCTTTCACATCGTCTTGGATGCTGAACTGAAAAGTTTATTTTTTCTTGGATACCCGTCAGGAGTTTCAAGGGTTCTTTCTCTGCTGCTTCTTCACTTGCCCTTAGGCTCTCTTTTATACATCTGGGTCCCATCATTTTCTGCCTCTCTTTCTTTCTGTAGACTAAATAATTTGTAAGAAAAATAATGTATGTTAGCTCTGCAACAACTTTAAATATATTAACAGTAGCTTTTAATAGGGGGCATTTTTACCTCCCCAGGGGACATCTGGCAATATATGGAGACATTTTTGTATCTTTTGCATAGATGCCAAGGATACTGCTAAAAATCCTTTGGTACCCAGAAAGCCCCACAACAAAGAATTATCTGGCTAAAATGTCAATACTGTCAAGTTGAGGATCCTGCGTTACAACTTTAGCTTTTAGTATGTTAAGTTTTAAGATTAAATGTTATGATTAAAATCAGTACAAGATTTTAACTTTCAAGTATACTTAGCAATGTGGAAGAATTTTTACAAAGTCCAATTATAAGAAGTTTGTCAAGTTCCACTTCTCATTGTTTTGTGATTATATAATTTTACTCTCCCTATTCTGAACTTTTGAGTTTTTTAAAATAAAGTGACATTACTACATTTAAGGGGTTGTCCTTATTTCAGAATAACTATAACCTGGCAAGTTTTTATAAAGTTTTGGCAAATTTTCGTAAATTAAACTGGAATATTTCTATTCTCACTGATTTTGACCCAAAGACAAATGTAATATTTAAAAATAATAAATCAGTAAATATTTTGAAATATCAAATTTAAACAGAATTGATAATTTTCAGAAAACAATTACTTTATTTATAACCAAATACATTTCCTTTGGAGACTTTAGAGCTATAGGACTTATCACCTTATAACCTGGGCTATCATTGTATCTTAAGTTTGATATTTAAAAGAAAATCTAAACTTTAGATAGGTCACCTATATTCTTTTATTTGTTTTTAAAAATTATATTTATAGTCATGTGGACTATAGCTGTGCTGTACTGAAAGTTGTTTATAATGAAGACCAGTTCATTTTCCCAGATAACAATGAATGGGAAGAAGGAATTACTAGTTATCACTACAGAAACATTACTCTTTGTTGTTTAAGTTTTAATGTCCATATAGTAGGTTTTCTTTTAGAAGCTAAAATGTTCCCACCAAAAATTGCTAGGAAAAATTCAGTCTTAGACTGAAAATTACATTGAGACTTCAAAAATTGATATATGTTATTAAGCCCACTGACCCACAAGAAAAGTGTGAGTGGAAGGTCCTAGAAGAAAAATAAGTCTCATTTGTGAGACTTTTATTTCATGTTGTTTGAGTGCAGTTTTAAAAGCAGAAAGAGATAATAAAAGCATATTCAATAACTATAATACAAAGTGAAAATATGCTTTATTTTAGTATTATGGCTAATTAAGGGGATGAGGAGATCAGAACTAGGAGAAGGGAGAAAATACAAAATGGAAAAAGACAGGCAACAGAGCTGAGTGGTCAGATTTATTGAGAATGTAAAGGAGATTCAGATAAACCTGGGACTAGATGACCTCTGAGCTCCCTTTTGACCCTGAGATTCTGTAATACAAACACAAGGAGAGAAAATTACTGCTGGCCCATATTTGGGTTAAGGTGTTTCTATTCCATTTAAATTTCGAATGTGCAGGTTATATTTTAAGCTTCTATTATCATATTTGAGGGGGGGAAAGGCCCATAATTTTCCATCTTTGAATGTGTGTAAGACCACATCTCAGTTCACAGAGAAAAATTATTTTCTCTTGTGAGCTATTTTTCTCCTTTGAAATGGTGCTTTAGATTTAAAAACAGTAATAGTTATTTTAAGCACAGGTTTATATTTACAGAAAAATTGGGCAGAGTGTATTGAGAGATTCATGTAATCCCCTCATAGCCCCCATTCCCGGTGTAGTTTCCTTTATTCCCAACATTTTGCATCTGTGTGGTACATTTGTTACAATTGATGAACCGATACTGATACATTATTATTAACTGAAATCCATAGTTGACGTTAGAGTTCATTCCTTGTGTTGCACAGTTCTGAGTTTTGATGAACACATAGCAACGTGTTTCTGCCGTTACAGTCTCATACAGTGTAGTTTCACTGACCTAAATCCTCTGTATTTCACCTATTCCTCTCTCCTCCGGTGCCCCTGACCACCACTGACCTTTTTATTGTCTCTACAGTTTTGCCTTTTCCAAAATGTCCTATAGTTGGAATCATACAATATGTAGCCTTTTCAGACCGGCTCCTTTCACTAAACAATATGCATTTAAACTTCCAACATGTCTGCTCATGACTAGACAGCTCATTTATTTTTATCACTAAATACTGTTAAATTGTATGGATGTACCATGGTTTGTTTATCTATTCATTTATTGAAGGATATCTTGGTTGCTTCTAGTTTTTGGTAATTATGAATAAAGCTGCTATAAACATTCATGTGTAGGTTTTTGTGTGGACATAACTTCTCACCTCATTTGGGTAAATACCTAGGAGTACAGTTACTGGATCATATAGTAAGAGCGTGCTTAGACTCAAACCACAAACTGTCTTGTGAAGTGGTTGTACCATTTTGCATTACCACCACCACCAAATGAGTGTTCCTCGTGCTCCTCCTTCTTGTCCATATTTGATATTGTTACTTTTTTTGACAGTTAGCTATTCTAATAGGTGTGTAGTGGTATCTTATTTTTGTTTTAATTTGCAATTCCCTAATGACATGTGATGTCGAACATATTTTCATATGCTTATTTGGCATCTGAATATCTTCTTTGGTGAGGTGTCTATTTGAATCTTTTGCCATGTTTATAATTGGGCTGTTTTCTTATTGTTGAGTTTTTTATGAATTCTGATAAATTAAGTGCTTTCTCAGATATGTGTTTTGCAAAATTTTCTTCTAATCTGGGGCTTATCTCTTCATTTTCTTAACAGTGTCTTTCGCAGACCAGAAATTTTTCATTTTAATAAAGTCCAATTTAAGAGTATTTTTCCTTTTTGGATTGTGCTTTGGTGGTATCTAAAAACTTATCACTAACCCTAAGGCCACCTGTATTTTCTCCTATGTTGTCTTCTAGAAATTTTATAGTTTTGCATTTTACATTTAGGTCTAAAGTACATTTCAGTTAATTTTTGTGAAAGGTATAAGTTCTGTGTCTAGATTAATTTTTTGAACATATAGATGTCCAATTGTCCATTTGTTGAAAAGACTCCATTGAATGTCCTTGCTCCTCTGTCAAATATCAGTTGGCTGTATTTGTGTGGGTCTATTTCTGTGCACTCTGTTCTGTTCCATTCACCAATTTGTCTGTCCTTTCACCAATACCACATTGTCTTGATTAACTGTAACTCTATAGTAATTCTTAAAATAGGGTAGTATCAGTCTGTTTTGTTCATCTTCAGCCTTGTTTTGGCTATTCTTGCTGTTTTTGCCTCTGCATATAAACTTTAGAATAAGTTTGTCAATATCTACAAAATAGCTCAGTGGGATTTTCATTGGGATTGCATTGAATCCATATATAAATTTTGGGAAGAATTGGCATCTTAGCAATATCGAGACTTTGTATTCATGAAAATTTATTTGTTTGGCTCTTCTTTGATTTCTTTCATTAGAGTTGTGTAGTTTCCTCATATAGATCCTGTACATGTTTTGCCTTAAGTGTTTAATACTTTAGTACTAATATAAATAGTATTATGGTTTTAATTTCAAATTTCAATTGTCCATTGCTGGTTTATAGGAAAGCCATTTACTTTTGTATGTTAATCTTATATCCTGTGACCTTGTTATAATTGCTTATTAGTTCTAGGAGATTTTTTTTTTTTGACAATTCTTTGGGATTTTCTACATAGACAAAGTTGTTTTTCTTCTTTCCAATTGTATAACTTTAATTTTTTTCTTACCTTATCGTATTAACTAGGACTTATAGTGCAATGTTGAATAGAAGTGGTGAGAGAGGATATCCTAGCCTGGTTCCTGATCTTCGGGGGAGTGTTTTCAGGTTTCCACCATTATGTGTGACGTTAGTTGTAGGTTTTTTGTAGATGTTCTTTATTAAGTTGAAGAAATTCCCGTCTATTCTTAGTTTGCTGAGGGTTTTTATTATGAATGGATGTTGTATTTTGTAAAATGATTTTTCTGAATCTAATGTGATTTTTCTTCTTTAGCCTGTTGATGTGATGGATTACATCAATTGATTTTCAAACGTTGCACTTGCCTTGCATACCTGAAATAAACCTCACTTGGTTGTGGTGTATAACTTTTTTAGTACATTATTGGATTTGATTTGCTAATATTTTGTTGAGGATTTTTACTTTTTTTTCATAAGAAATATTGTTTTGTAATTCTCCTTTCTTGTAATGTCTTCATCATACCAGCCTAATGAAATGAATTAGGAAGTGTTCCCTCTACTTACTTTCTGAGATTGTGTAAAGATCATATTTTTTTCTGTAAATGTTTGATATAATTCACCAGTGAAACTATCCGAGTCTGATGCTTTCTATTTTGGAATAAGTTGCCAAACTTGTGGGCATGGAGTTATTCACAGCATTTCCTTATTATTCTTTTGGCAAGTGGGCTCAGTAGTGATGAAACCTCTTCTCTTCCTCATACTGGCAATTATATGTTCTATTTTTTTGCTTAGTTAGCCTGCCTGATGATTATGAATTTTATTGATCTTTTCAAGGAAGCAAACATCTTTTAATTTCATTAATTTTTCTCTAATGATTTCCTGTTTTCAATCCCGTTGATTTCTGCTCTAATTTTTATTTTCTTTTGTTCTACTTGCTTTAGGCTTTTATTGCTCTTTTTGCTCTAGTGCCCTCAGATG